TAATGCTAAATTAAATTATTTTTTTGACCGTAATCATTCCTTTTTTTTTAGAATATTTCGATAACATTATGTAAATTTTATTAAAATTTTTAAACGTTTTAGTAGCCCCATTTGTCTTTGACTAAATAATCTAAAATTAAACCTTTTTTTTCAAGCTTTTAAAATATTTTCATTAAATTATGGTGAACTTGTTGAATTCTAAGTCCATGAATATTTAATTCAAATTTTATTCAGAGATTATTTCATTAATAATATTGAATCACTTTGTACACTCCAATGTAGATAACATATAATGCTGAAAATGAAAGTGAAATGATCCTAATATAAATATGTTTTTACATAATTAAAGTCAGAATAATTACTATAAAAGGAAAACTAATTAAATGGTATAGTTGTTTTGAATAAACATAATACGTAAATATAGGAGTCTACGATATACATAAATAGAAAAATGTATAGGATTATGAAAAAATCCATAATATGAAAATTCTGGGCAATATATTCTAATATAAGGAATGGTTTGGTTTAATTTTAGCATCGATTATCAACGAAAATTATATTGAAGATTTTTAAAGTATTTAGGATTTAAATTGTAGGAAATATTTGTGGAAATGTATTAAAGAGTGAATTGTGCAGATTTTTTATTCATTTGTCCTATTAAACTTTTATGTATGCATTTTTAATAATAAAGTTTAGAATTTTTTAGGACAGTTTTATTCTTGACAAGAACGGCGGTAACATTAGATTAACTATTACATTTCAATAACATTTAAATTATGTTCAAGTAATACAAAATTTTACACCAATTTCAAGAATTAATTAAAATTTTGAACTTAAGTTTTAATATTTTAATAAATAAGATTTTAATAAACTGAATAACGGTAAAACTACAAATTTAAAGGTAATTAAAAGTAAAACCGCACAGTATACTCTGTGTACTAAAACAAGTATCTTAAATCGTTTTCTTGCAGATTCTGAAGCTTGTGGCGGCTCTTTAAGTAAAGCGACTTTAACTCCAATTACATTTTGACGATAAAATTCTGTCAAATCATAGGAAGCATTCTTTAAAATTGTGAAATCATCGTATTCTTCTTTTGAAATCAGTTTTTCCAAGTTACAAAAATTATCGTTTTTAAAATTGTAACCTGTCTCCAAAAAAAATTTGATAGTAGCAAAACCCAATATAATTTTTCTTTGCAATTTTATTAAAATCGGTTTCTCTTTGCCTTTAAGTTTTATATATGTATCCAGAATTAAAGATATTAATATTTGAAATAAAATGTATCTTATTAAGTGCCATGCATAACACCGCGTTATTGTACCACCTGGTGCATAAATTGTTCTTTCCAATGGATTTTCTTTAATAACTTTTTTTCCAGTTTCAAGTACGATTTCTCCAGTAATTAATTGAAATTTTTTCATTGAACAATTGTAAACATGTAAATTATAAAGATCTTTTGAATTTGCTTTATCATAGCTCGCTACGATCATTGCTCTTGTAGCAATGTCAATTGGGATTAAATCGTGTTTAATATCTGGTGTGCTATAACTTGTTCGTAAAATTCCATATGCACAAGCTATCAAATTTGCTACAGGACCATTGAAATTTTCAATCCAACCAGGTACTGGATCATTTAAGCAAGCAGTAACAATTGTTGGACGATATACAACACATGGAATTTCATTTTTGAATTCTTCTATAATGATTTCTCCTAAATTTTTTGTAAATGTATACGTATTCGGTAGTAAACACCGAAATTTTTCACTTATAGGTTCTAAACTGTCTCTATTGAAGTTTTCTGCTATTTTAACAGCATCTCTCCAGTCCATATATGGAGGATAAATCTTTTCTTCAACATTGTGTTTATCAGGATTACAAAATGCTGTTGAAACATGGACGAATACTGTGACATTTTTTAATTTTTTAGCAAACTTTATCATTTCATATGTTCCCCTAGTATTAATGATTATTGCATCCTTTATGGGATCATCAAATCTAACACTAGCGGCTGCATGAAAAATAATTGTTACATTTTCAAGTTGTTTAATATCTTCATCACTGATTCCTAGATTTAGTTGTAAAACGTCGCCACTTATTGCTTTAAGTTTTTGTAAATTTTCTGGATGAGTACTTTTTAATTTGTCAAACAATTGTGAATCAAAGAATTCTTTTAAACGGTCCTCTACCGATTTATCTTTTTTCGGTCTCATAAGAGCATAAATTGTTTTAACTTTAGGACATGATCGAAGCAGTTTTTCAATGAGAAATTTTCCCATAAACCCGCTGCCTCCAGTTATAAAAATTTCTCTATTTTCATAGAAATCTCCGATATTTATTTTATTTTTTGCCATCTTATGTTTGACTCAATTAATTTAAACTGAATTCACTTATTTTTAATTTGTTTCCTAATTATATGAAAATTTTTTGTAGTATTCTTTTATAGTCACTTTATTTTTTTCAAGGTTTATCAAATTGTCCGTGATGTATTTTAAAATTCTCTTTTGTTGTGTAAAATATTTTGATAGCGACAAGAGTTGTTGAACTGAGAGTCGTTCATGAACTAAGTATTTCGTAAAATTAATCTTTTCTTGTTACTTCAGAATCTTTTTATGTTTATGTATTGGTTGTATTTCCTGTTAAGTTCTATAAATGTATTACATTTATTTATGCATGTACATAATTTTATACATGCGTATACTAAAATAAAGAGGTTTGATTGGACACTTATGTGGTATAGTCGGCAAATAAAATGAATGTCTTCTGCTTGATTTTTTTGAGGATTTTTTCAAATTAAAAAATTACACGGTTTATTTTTCGAATTTAAATTGTGTTGTTTCAAGATGATTATAAAAATGAATATTTCAAAAATTGCATTACATTTATTGTTTGTGCCTGCAAATCCAAATAGCCTACTAATTAAAGGTTACTTTGGAAATTAATTCAGTGATTTGTCAAATGTAAAATATGAATACATTTGTTTGCTTAATACGAAACTATTTTTGGTGCCACAAAGAGGAACGCAGATTTACTGTACTCTTCTCACATAAATGTAAATTGTTAGGTTGAAAAACTGACCTTTACTTATTATTCGTTGTTCGTAAATGCTTGGGTATTTTGATTCCATGAATATTTTTAAAATAAAATGTGATTTTAAATTTTAAACATGCATTCTTCGTATGTTTTTTGGGCACATTTAACACGTTTTACTGGCAAAACTATGAGAGATAAAGGAAAATGTTATATTGGTTAACTTTTAGATCTCATCGTAGCGCATCGAAAAAAAAAAACAAAAATAATAATAACAAAAATTTTCGAGAAATTTCGAGTTTTGTGACTATGGCTCAAATCAAATTAATTATAAAACTAAAAATAAGAACAATCAGTCGCCTGTGAAACAAGCTCCTAGTCATAAGTCTATATTGTATGGTTTCGAAATTATAAGCATTTATTTATCTTTGCAAAATACGTCCAGTACCTTTTCTTTCAACAAGCTGCAGCTCGAAAACAAGTATATCTGCATCCCTCACCCGCAGCATTTTTTGATGAAAATTGATCAAAGAATCATTTCTGAAATTATTTGCCACCTTAACCTGTAAGCCTTGTTGAAATAAATTTTAATGGAGAACCGAAATTGAGAAAAAATATTTGATCCCTTGAAATACATTTAATACTATATTATATAATTCGTGTAATGGGATCTTTTAATCTAAATTAAGAATTTTGTTTCCAAGTATGTATTTGTATCTTAAGCATTGGCTTCAATTGCTTATTTCAAAAATTACAATAATACAAAACTTTCAAAAAAACGCAGATTAAACTGCAGGTGAGTTGCCGTTGGAAAATAGATCTAACGAAGCTACAACATAGTTTTTGTAGTGAAATAGTTCATTGTAAAGTTTTATAAACTTTGTATTACAAAACTTTCAAAATCATACAATTTTTAGCTTTCATCAACTTTTAAAGTTTTACAAAGCCTTTATTGCTTTGTAAAACTTTAGCCTCTACTTTATTCAGTAGAGCTTTAAGGAACTTATTACAAATTTTTAAATTATAAATAAATTTAACTGTTTAATAATTCTACATTGCGGAACGTTTGAGTTGAAACAATTTATGCATTGTAACCTTACACTTTAAACGTTACAACTTTTCAAGGCTAATTTTTTGACTTTAGTACATTTTCAATAATGTTATAGAAATTTCTCATTTCAGTTCAGTTATTGATATTATGCGGAATCTAGAGGCTTCATACTTAGTATGAGTATAGGGGACTTGGTTTAGGTATTTTCAATTGCCTATCTGAATCAACACGTATTTTTTCTTTCCAATTAGACAATTGTTATTTTTTTTTCGATATTGTTTCACAGTCCCCGTCAGAATTGTCTCATATATTTATCATCAGTGTTCATCCTTCTATGTCTAATTGAATATTTTAGCCAACGAAATAACAATATTACCGGAATATTAATTAAAGAGATTTTATTATGCGGGGCCAGACTGCATTACGTGTATGAGATTTCTGAAGTGAATTATAACCTGAGAATAAAGCTGCGCAATAACAAGTACTAAATCAATAACCATATAGATAGATTCGCCATAACCAGCCCATGTTTAGCAGTAGCGGTTTATTCGTTTAGCGGTTACTGCCTTGAAATTAAATTCTTAAATAAGGTTATGATAGCAAACGATTGAATGACCTATCTCTTGTATATTTTAAATTCTTTTCGTTATTATTTTTTGTTTTGATTTAGTTTTTATTTTGGCATTAAATATTGTGAATTGGAATTATATTCAATACGAACATTATGCGTTAATAGTCGCTTAGCAAGTAACAACAAAAAAAGAGTCAAAACAAAGTACATTGCACTACTTCTATTGGAACTTGAACCAATTAAATTCGTTTTATTTACGTAAAAAGGTGGAAAGGTTAAATATTCGAATATGTTTAGCGCAAAGAGAAATATACAAATAAAAATTTTTTTATTTTTTTTTTTTATTTACAAAATTATCATATTTTACACTAATAGACCAAAAAGTAAAGGTAGCAAAATATATCGAAGCAATAGGGCACATGTTATAAAAATTACAAAGTGATGACAATATTTTAGAATCTTAAAACGTCTTCGGCCAGCTTCAGAACAATTTTCATTTTCTTTTAATAAATATTTTTTAGCCCCACTTAGAGCACTTGTAAAATATTCTTTCGTATCAATATCTTTAAATCTTATAAATGAAAAATCTTCGTGCTCTAAATTTGTTACCAACTTTTCTAAATTAACAAAATTTTCATTTTTAAAAATCCAAGTTCTTTGTATAAAATATAGTAAAGCACAATTGGCTGAATAAATTTTCCTTTGTAATTTCATTAAAAATGGTTTTACATTGATAATTTTAAAAATTGAATCAATTATAACAGCAACAAAAAATTGTAAAACTATAAATCTTATGAAATTATAATACCGGCATTTAGTTACTCCACCACTAGGATAGAGTAAAGTTCTTTCCATTGGATTTTCTTCTGTAATACATCTGCCGTATTCAAGAACTTCTTCCAATGTAACTGTTTTCAATGAACCTGTTGAACAATTATAAATTTGCAATTCTTTACTATTCTGTGTAATTCCTCTTTTATATGCCGCAATAATAAGACCTTTAATTGCAATATCAACTGGTACATAATCTGAGGCGACATTTAAATCAGCATGCATTGTTCTGATTATTCCAACGCCACTAGCAATTAACATACCAACTGGACCATTGAAATTATCAATCCATCCGGGTATCGGATCACATACAGTTGAAATAACAATTGATGGTCGGTATATTGCACATGGTATGTCATCTTTATAACTATCTATAACATGTTCAGCTAAATTTTTCGTAAATATGTATGTATTTGGTTGATAACAGCTAAATTTTTTATTGAAAATTTCAAGTGTTTCATTATCGTAATTTTCAGCTACAGTAATTGCATTTTTCCAATCTGCATAAGGTGGATAAAGTTTCTCTTCAATTACAAATCTATCTGAATAACAATAAGATGTTGAAACATGTACTAGAGCTTCAATATTTTTTAATTGTTTAGCAAATTTTATAATTTCATATGTTCCTTTTGTATTCATTATTATTGCTTCTCTTAATGGCTCATCAAAACGGACGTTCGCAGCCGAATGAAATATAATTGAAACGTTCAACAAACGTTCCATATCTTCATCACTTATTCCTAAGCCTGTTTCAAGAATATCACCATTTATTGGTATAATTTTATTCAAATTATCTGGATTTTCGTTTCGTATTTTCTCAAATAATGGTAATTCCAACATTTCATTAAGTCTTTCATAAATTGATTTACCTTTTTTAGATCTAATGAGTATATAAATTGTTTTTATTTTTGGACACGATCTTATTAGTTTCTCTATTAAAACTTTGCCCATAAAACCAGTAGCTCCAGTTATGAAAATTTCTTTACTTCCATAAAAATTTTTAATATTCCCTTGATTCATGGTGATGTTTCTTTTAAATAAATTTTTATTCTGTGGGTATGTTTTTCAAATAGTACAAGGTACAAATTTTTTTTTAATAAATTAAAGATATTTTCTTTTGTTCCTTAAATATTTCAACTTTAAAAAGATTAATTAGAATAAATTATATTATTATCTTTTTTCTACAGTAAGTTAATTAAAATTATTGCGCTGCAAGTATATTTACGCGCACGTCAAAATCACACTAGTTGCTTAAAATTTGAAAATAATACTGTAAACCTTGAGCAAAAATCAAGTGATTTTCATACTATATTTGTATTTCGTTTTTTATAATGTCATCAAAAGGTTAACATTTTAAATTACAACTTTGTATTCAGTATTTAATTAAATAACAAGACAAATTTTTTTTAGGGAGAAATTTGTGCTTCAATGTTGCCAATGTTTGGTGCAGTTCAAAAAAATTAATTCGGTTTTTAGTTACAAAAATAAAGAAGAAAAATATATATTGTGAATTCATTTAAAATTATAAATAATGCATACTAGTTGCGTCATCGACTTGTACTTTTATAATTATAACACTTTCATACTATAGGACCGGTAACGAATGTTATTTTAATGGTTGTTTGTAGATTATGCGTTATATCCTTCTTTTAATTCTTATACTTTGCTATGTTACTCAGGTCTTTATTAAATTAAACATACATATATAGAATTTTAAAAATTTAATTTTTGTTGTTATGAGCAGTGCCTACGCTAACATAACATTATTACCCCAAAACATAGCTGGCTCCTTTGCTGGGAAATCGTTGCAAGAGATACAGGTATTCTCATTTTACAACTAAAAATCAAATTGAGGTTTACTTTAATTTTAAAGTAGTAGATTATAAATGAACGTCTTCTAATTGTAAAACTCGCAATGCGATCAAAACAGCTCGAGTATTTAATCTACAATTTAGTTTTAAAGTTCTTATGTTACTTTTTATAATAAAGTGTATTTACACGGAAATTGTGAATAAAAAATTAATATCTTTTTCTTCAATTTCCCTTAAGAATTTTTTCAAAAATAAATGAATTTGAACCTTTCATTTTTGCCTCTAAAAAGAATTTGCGAATGTATATCATTGCTCAGAAACTAGTTTTAATCGACTTAGCTACGTCAGTTTTTGCATTTGTTTGCTTATTGTCGAAAAATTCCATTGATTACGAAATTGACCAGAGGCTTGTTTGAGAGTATTTCTGAATTTTTGCAAAAGTTTAAATTCATAATGATTTTGTCTACTTAGCATTTTATGTACAAATAGAGCAACGTATAAAATTTTTTCTCATAATTGAAAAAATCAAACTTCTACTTTTTCATATAGAGGAATATTTTCTTCGCTTGAGTTTGAAAAACTAGTCTTAATTCACCAGTAAATAATAATATAATTTTGTTTGCTTTTTTGTTGTGCATCTTAGTTGTCAATGGGTTATGAATTAAATTGGAATAGTGCTGTATTAATTAGTACTGTGGTGATAATATAGGAATAATTTTCGAGTAAAACATTAAAGAATAGCGTTCCCATACAATTTTTTTTGTATAGCTTGTTATAATCTATTTGATATCACAAACAATTTCTTATTTACATACATACATCAAGGTTTGATTAAGTACGGCCAGGTTAATTACAACAAAAAAGTGTATGAGCAGTGTGAGCAGTAAGGCTATTTAATGTTTGTGATTTAAAAATTCCCAGTCTAATCATATACGTTTGGAAAAACCAGAACAACCTTCTGACCAAAACAGATTCTGAAGAATTGTGTGAAGAGTTTCTCACTGGTGGTTCAATAAAATTAAGAAGGGAAAATTTTACTTGATTTTTTTTTCAAGTTTTTATTCAATTTGAGTATCGAATAATTATATTGTTTTACTTTTTCGTTTTCCTTGTAATTTCCTAAATCTTACAGTTAAATCGTTTTGGATAAGGTATCTATTTATGGTTCTAATCCATGAACAATTTCAAAGTAAATTAAATATATTGCTAAATTTGGAGTAAAAAGAAAATTTAATATCAAGTTAATTAAAATATTTCCAAGCATAAGGGCAGGTTCATTTAAAACTTTACTTGAGATGTCAAAATAAGTCAATGAAAGAAACGGAACTGGGATGAAAATGAAGCAGAAAAATTAAGTTACATAACTGAAAAGGGAATTTATCCCAATTCAAAAACAATGATTACTTTTATATTTTTGATAACTCTAGTTTTTCTTGCATTCGAAAATCTTATAAAACTGCTATGGCCAAGTATCAAGTTAGTAAAGTTAAAGAAGAATTTTTTTAACAAAAAATTGAAATTCTAATATTTTGTCTTTTAAATTAAAAAATTGCATTTTTTTTAATAACTGGGTAAATAATAAACACTAATTTTTTCAAATTATTTTAAATAATTTATAGTTGATTTAATTCAATTTAATTCAAGTAAAAAGTAATGATTAAGTAGTTCAAATAATTTTGACTTTATCACATAAAATAAAGGAATGGCTATGTATTTTCCAGTGAGAAAAATTAAAATTGTGCAGTATATTCTATGCACCCAAACAAGTATTTTAAAACGTCTTTTAGCGGCTTCGGTTGCTTGTGGTGGTTCTTTGAGTAAAGCTATTTTAGCACCAACTAAATTTTTACGGTAGAAATCTTCCAAATCATAAGGTACATCTCTTAAAAATGTAAAATCATCATATTCCTTTGGCGGAATGCAACTTTCCAAATTAAAAAAATTACTATTATCAAAATCGTAAGGTGTCTCACAAAAATATTTTATAGCTTCAAAACCAAGTATCATTTTTGCCTGTAGTTTCATTAAAATTGGTTTTTGTTTACTTGTAAATTTCATTATCATATCTAGAATAAACGAGATTGATATTTGAAACAGAATGTATCTTATTAAATGCCATGGATAACAACGGGTCATTGTACCGCCTGGAGCATAAATAGTTCTTTCAAATGGATTTTCCTTAATAATTATTTTTCCAACTTCCAGTATCGATGTTCCAGTTATACTTTGAAATTTTCTCATTGAACAGTTATAAATATCCAAATTATAAGGATCTTTTGAATTTCCTTTCTTATAAGCAGCAACCATCATTGCCCTCGTAGCAAGATCAGCAGGTATAAAATCTAATTCTGAGTCTCCTTTTGAATAATTGGTTCTAAGTAGACCAATCGCGGAAGCTACCAAATTTGCTACAGGACCATTAAAATTTTCAATCCAACCAGGTAGTGGATCATTTAAACTAGCAGCAACAATTGTTGGACGATATACAACAAATGGGATTTCATTTTTGAATTCTTCTATAACGTTTTCGCCCAAGTTTTTCGTAAAAGTATATGTATTCGGTAACAAACATCTCAACTTCTCATTTATTGGTTCTAAACTGTCTCGATCAAAATTTTCTGCAATTTTGATAGCATCCCTCCAGTCCATATAAGGTGGATAAATTTTTTCTTCAACATGACGTTTGTCAGGATTACAATACGCTGTTGAAACATGGACGAATACTGTGATATTTTTTAATTTTTTAGCAAACTTTATCATTTCATATGTTCCTCTAGTATTCATGATTATTGCATCCTTTATTGGATCATCAAATCTAACACTTGCGGCTGCATGAAAAATAATTGTTACATTTTCAAGTTGTTTAATGTCTTCATCACTGATTCCTAGATTTAGTTGTAAAACGTCGCCACTTATTGCTTTAATTTTTTGCAAATTTTCTGGATGAGTACTTTTTAATTTGTCAAATAATTGTGAATCAAAGAATCCTTTTAAACGGTCCTCTACCGATTTATCCTTTTTCGGTCTCATCAGAACATAAATCATTTTTACTTTTGGACATGATCGAAGCAATTTTTCAATGAGAAATTTTCCCATAAAACCGCTACCACCCGTAATAAAAATTTCTTTGTTTTCATAGTAACTTGCAATGGTTTTGCTATTTTCATCCATGAGTGAAGGTTATGAAGTTATCATTAAATATTATCTACAACGCGTTTCAATGCACGGATTAATAATTGTTCGCGATATTAAATTGTTAAATGCAGCCGCGAAACACTTAGTTAGGAAACATACGTTCAACTAAAAGTTCTGCAGTACATTTGGTTTTTTATAAACTTTCAAATTTCTTGTTAACATTTAATTTCTCTTTATTATTAATTAAATATTCATACTCGTATTGCACTCACCTGGTGCTGTATTAGATAATCCATGTTTTTCATTTGTAAAATATGGTCAGTATAAGAAATAGTATCAATTTCTACTAACCGGATTGCATGAAGCAAGGGAGGTATTGTGAAGGCATCAGATTTTATATGTCCAGTGCCCAATAGACGTGCATTGCTCCGTCGTAGAAAAAAATTTTGTACATTAAAATAAATAAAATTATTTTCAGTAAGATTGGCCCAAGGATGTTCCTGTCGCTTTATCTGTGCATTCACTATCATAGGTTCGATTGATTCGATTTAGATGGAAATATATTTCGGAATTTACTTCGAAATGAGATGAATTGCTCAACCCTTGTATTATTACGATTACTAATAATCGTCGGGAAACTTCTCGGGAATGTTAGCATTAGTCAACAAAGGCGGGGTTGAATTTTACATTTTTTCTCATAATTAAGACAAGTATCAACATAATTTAAGTAAAATTAATATTTGAATTACAAAAAGCGGATCTAAACTAAAAGCGAAATTGATATTTTTAAAAGCATATTAACTAGAAGATTATAATTTTTGTTAAATTTTGAATTGGCCATACAAAATTCATTTTGATATTGGAATTCGGAAATAAATCAGTCACTATAGTCGGTTATATAGTGACCACATCATATTTTTTTTAATTAATTTAAAAAATTTGCAGTCGATTTTGCATTATATAATTTCAATTGTTTATAATTGTCATTTAATGCAAAATTTTATAAAAACACAGCAATATTAGTTTCCAAATTTGATATTTTCAATTTTTCTAAATCGATTTTAAAAACAGAGTCGTATAATCAAGAATTTCTTAATAATATTGCTTATATTTTCTGTGTTCGAGTCGTTGGTTTATTTTCGAGTATTATCTCACTTAACAAGAAAATTTACTGTAAACAGCTGATTTTAATAAAATATTTTATATGTATGAATCGTCTACTGACTTTTATTATATCTGTCATGTTGCTGAAGTGCTTATTCGTTGATTATACGCATTATGTTGAGAATGCAAGGCGCTAGAGAATTGCAGGAGCATATTGTTACTGCAGGCAGATCGGTGTGAAAAGTGAGCAGATTACGCTGCTAGCACTGGTGATATTTCCAACAAAAGGCAGCGCTAGGGGATCTTAACATGTGCGCATGTGATTTTTTCAGGTATCCTTATGCAATTTACTGTAAATGTGATATTTATGCACAATATTATTTTGAATATTATAAGTCTTGCCAATTTGGCAATTTCTCTTACGCTCTTATTTTTTAAAATAATCTATTATAACATTGACCTAAATATACATAGTGTGTATTAATAATATTATTACGTAAAAAATAAAAGTTTTAAATTTGTATTTTAAAAACTAGCACCGATATAATGGACTCTTATTAGGATTGAATCTTAAGCTATTAGCGTAGCCATACGTTAAATCGCAGATCTTTAAATTTTTTATTTATCCTTTATATCTGTTTGATTAACAACTTTTGATAGAAAGATATAAAGGTCTACAAAGCTTAGCAGAAGAGGAAGCGTAGCCATATGAGAGGAGCTTTAAATAAATATGAAAGTTTCAACAATATGGCGTGATATCCTGCCGTACTGTCGTATTTGGTCAATAAGAAGCCGTGATTTATCGCAACTACATTACTCTATAGGCAAGCTTTAAATCTATACAAAAAGTTAGTCACTATTGCGGTGTTCATAAGATGAGACCCCAAATAAAGCACGTAAAGCGATTAAACATTGAATTCATTGAATTTATCCTGTAAGCACATTTGAGAATACCATCTTAATCATATCTTTTATGCGTTGAATACTTTTCTTCACTTCATTCTCAGTTTTACTTTAAAAACTAGTTTAGGCACCAATTGAATAACCTACTGTTTACGTAAATGTGCATTCATAAGCCTATATATAAATTATAAATATTTACACGCCTTATACGTACGTATTTAATATTTAAGAATATTCAAAAAGACTTAAGAAAATTTACATTTGTATAAAACATACAATTAGTTATTATGCAATTTTAAAAATTATTATTTGATAAGCATTTAAAGAAAAAGTTAAATTTAATTTGTGCAAATGCGTAATTTAATAATAATATGGTTGAAAGAAGAGTTGTGCAAAAAATAAAACATTTAAATTTCAATTAATTTCGGAATTGTTATTATAAAATAAATTAATTATTAAAAAAAAGCGAAAAGATCGAGTTGACCACGTCAGCTTTATGATGTACAAATGTTTTTCAAGAGTTGCAACCGTTGGCAAAAGGAATAAGTATTAATATTTTTTCGGAATGCTAACACTTTTAGTGAACATCGTCGTGTGAAGTTTGATTTTTTTTTGTTTTTACGGATATTAAAATATGAGGTTGAGTTCAAGTTTGCAGATCTTATGAGGTTCTACAAATGCAGTGCGTTTTTGTATTTATACTGCAAAAAATAGCGCGTTTTTGCTTTTAGAACTTGAAAAGAACTTCAGCAGCATTTGCAGTATTTGCAGCATTAAATTTGTGCTGTCATTAATAAGAAAAAAATATAACCTTAAATTTTAATAGTATGAAATAAGACCGCTTAAAAATTTTTAATTTCTTTAAAAAAAATTAACTTTGTTCAAAAATTTTCAATAAATTTCAATAGTTTCTTCTAAAACAAAATTCAATAGTTTCTTCTAAAAAAAAAACTTGCTAATTTTCAAAATTGTATAATATCTGAAACACTCGAGAATAGTGAGGACATGTAAGTACATATGTATCTACACTATCAAAATTAAATTTTTCATTAAATTTGAAATGGTTTTCTTATTATGTAGATTTGAGGATGAAGAAAATAGCATAAAAAGCTGGTCCAGTGCAGAAACCAAACTCCTCATAACTGAAAGACTGAAATTAGAAAACGACTCCTGCTCGGGGCGTAGAAAAAGGAATGTGATGTGGGGATTAGCAAAAGATTTGGGGGGTAGTAAAAGTAGATTGTTGTAAAAAATTTCGATGTTTTTTTATTCTGTTAAGTTTTTTTAGGAAGCTGCTTAGTAAGATGTTGTTTAAGAGAAAATTACTTTCCTTTATCTTTTTTTTGCCATCCGTATCCATTTTTTATTCATTTTTTTTACAAAATAAATTCATAATATTAACATACCAACACCAAGGTTTAAAACTAAAATGACAAAATAAAATTGACATGTCAAAAACAGATGGTTGCAGTGGGACGTTTTTATTTTCAGAACTTTTTTTTTCAGTTTTTGAATTTTCTTTTGCAGAATAGCGCTGAAAACATAGGAACTACTTTTTAAGATCTGCAAACTTGAACTCAACCTGACTGCATTATTTTTCAGTTTATATACACATAAACCGGTACGAATATTCAACACTAATTTATTGCAAGCTTCAATACTTCTTATAGTTTATAAGGTGTAACCAAATTATTTTAGGGGTTGCATTGCAGATATTGTAAAAACCTTTAAAACTAAAACAAAATTTCGCTGAATTAACGACCCTATTACAAAACTCATTTATGCAAATTTTTAGTATAACAGGACCTGTAGCTTATAAGATATTATAAAATTATTTTCGGAGTAGAATGGCAGCTTTTGTTAACACTTGCACTCAACTTTGTAGTTTACGAAATATTGCCTAATTAATTCGAGAGTTGAATATCAGGTACTCAAACCATTTCTTTAATAGAACTTCTTTAATAAAAATAATACTTGAACCACTCTTCAATAAAACTCACATTACGTATAGGGCTCTTGCCGTAACCTCTCGTTTAATAAAAATTTACTTGGGTTGTTTTTTAATTGTAGCAATTGTTTTTAATTATACGGATCGGCACACATGGTCAAATCGACTTAAAATACGACGGTGAGCAAGACGTTATTCTTTCTTCGAAAGAAATGCCAGGATATTTTGTGAAGCTATAACGTTTGTTCTAATTTTTAATGTTTTTTAAAAATGTAGTGGAAAATTTTCGATTACTTTTTGATTTTGATTACAAATAATATACATTAAGTGCATATACTCGTATGTAGATTGTACATGTATTTTTGTTTAATCATGAATGAAATCATAAATCTAAATCTTTTGTCCTCCTAACCACAATACCATGGCAACGAGAATTTGTACTTATCTGAATATTACAGAGCAATACTTTTTTTTTAATTCGCTTTATATTTTGTTTTAAGCAATACGCACTGTGTTATGTTTATATAAATTAATGACGCTGCAGACGCACACCTAAGTCATAAAACTGTCAAAGTAAAATTTATAGGAGAGAACATTGTTAATGTAATATGACTAAATTTAATTTTCAATTTTCACCTCACGTCCAATTTAGGTGAATTTCTCAATATTTTTTTGGACCTTCGTTGCTTATTATATCAATAATTGATTTTAGCCTATATTGAGAATATTGAGAATTTCAGAAAATCAAAAAAAAAAAAAAACAAAAATATTTTAGCTGAGATTTATTAAATATTTATTTTTTCATTAATTTTTTCATAAAAGTATAATGTTACCAAATTGAATTCTTTTTTTTTGCTAAAACATAAAGAAACGAAGGTTCACAATAGCTTGAATGTAAAGGTGTGAAATAAAATTTTTAAAGGTTAAGGTTACACAGCAATTTATAAAAGGATAATTTTTTAAATTTCATTAAATTTGAAATTTTATGTAAAAAGATAACCGATAAAACGATATTTTATTACAATTCCAGAAACACCCAAAAAAAAAGGTGTTCAAAGGTTTGAAAGAATGGAATTTCAGTGTTACGCGCTAGCAAGTATTATATTTCAAAGGCTGATTAGTTCATGTTCTCTTGCCAAAATTATTTGTGTGTAAAACGAGAAACCTAGGAAAATTTAATAGAAAAAAAATTTTGTT